GATGCATTGATTCTTTGTATTGTTTTCTTTGTTTCTATTTCATTAATTTCTGCTCTGATTTTTGTTATTTCTTCTCTTCTGCAGGGTTTGGGTTTCATTTGTTCTTGCCTTTCCAGCATCTTGAGGTGCAGTGTTAGGTCATTTATTTGGGTTCTTTCTAATTTTTTAATGTCGGCAGTTAGAGCTGTAAACTTCCCTCTTAGGACAGCTTTTAAAGTGTCCCAGAGGTTGTGTTGTGCTGTATTGTCCTTTTCATTGAATTCCAGGGATTCTTTTATTTCTTTCTTAGTTTCCCCTTGACCCACTCCTTGTTTAGGAGTGAGTTGTTTAATTGCCATGAGTTCCTGTAGTGACTAGGGCTTCTGTCCAGTGTTGATTTTTGAGTTTTATTGCATTGTGGTCCAATAGAATGCATGGAATTATTTCATTTTTTTTGTATTTGTTGAGATTTGTTTTTTGGCCCAGTATGTGGTCAGTGTTTGTAAAAGTTCCATGGGGTGCTGAGTAGAAAGTGTATTCTTTGGTGTTTGGGTGGAATATTTGAAAGATGTCTGTTTGGTCCATTTGATGTGTGGTATCTTTTAATTCAGAAGTCTCTCTGTTAATTCTTTTTCCAGTTGACCTGTCTAATGGAGATAGTGGGGTATTGAAGTCCCCTACTATTAATGAGTTGGGGTTAATGTATGTCTTAAAGTCCTGTAGTGTTTTTATGAATTTGAATGCACCAGAGTTTGGTCCATATGTGTTCAGGTCTGTAATATCTTCTTGGTTAATTGTTCCTTTGATCAGAATGAAGTGACCCTCCTTATCTCTTCTCATTCATTTTAGTTTGAAGTGTATTTTGTCGGGCATTACAATTGCAACCCCTGCTTGTTTCTTAGTGCCATTTACTTGGAATATTCTTTTCCATCCTTTCACCTTAAGGTAGTGCCTGTCCTTGAAGGCAAAAAGATGGATTTTTGTTCCTTAATCCATTTACTTAGCCTGTGTCTTTTAACTGGGTCGTCTTTGAGTCCGTTGATATTTAAGGTTATTATTGAAAGATGTGTATTGGTTGCCATCATTTTGATTGCTGTTTATGTTCTTTTTCTAATTTTATGTTTCCTCAATTATACCTTCATTTTCTTTTGTTGCCCCAGGGTATAGTTGTTTCTCTCTCTGCTCTCTGTATTGCTTCAAGTGTTCTTTGAAGGGCTGGTTTTGTGCACATGTATTCTTTCAGGCTATTGTTGTCATAGAAAATTTTTCTTTCCCCCTCAACTATAATAGACATTTTTGCTGTAAAGTATTCTGGGCTGGAATCTGTTGTCATATAGAACTGGAAATACCTTGGTCCAGGCTCTTCTGGCTTTCATAGTTTGCATTGATACGTCAGCTGTAATTCTGATGGGCTTTCCTTTGTATGTGACTTGTTGTTTTTCTTTTTCTGCTTTCAGTATTCTCTCTTTGTTCTGTACATTAGTGTTTTTACTATGATATGTCATGGGGAGTTTCTTTTCTGCTCCTGTCTATTTGGTGTTCTCTGTGCTTCCTGTATTTGTATGGGGATGTCTTTATTTAGGGAAATTCTCTTCTACAATCCTGTTTAAGATCTGGTCAGTACCATTAACCTGAAATTCTTCTCCTTCCTCTATGCCTATGGTATGTAGATTTGGTCTTTTCATGGTGTCCCACATCTCTTGCATATTCCTTTCCTATGTTTTTAAAAAATTTCCATACTCTTTGCTTGAGTGGTCCAAATTCTTCAACTTTATCCTCCAGTGTTGACATTCTGTTTTCCATTTCATTCATTCTGTTGGTGAGGCTTTCCCCTGTTGTTTCAAGTTGTGAGTTTTGCACTTCCTTCTTCATTTCTGCCTGATTTTTCTTCAATGTTTCTATCTCTTTTGTAAATTCATTCAGAATTTTATCCCTATCTTCTTTTAGTTCTTTGATTTGTTTGTATGTTCATTA